GCGGCAGGGGGGGACTCCAGGTGACACGGGTGGACAGCGGGTGACAGCGGGTGACAGCGCAGCTTACACAGTGTTGTTCAGCTTCATCTTCAGCAGGTCAGTGTAGTAGGTCTCGTCCTGGCCTTCGGCTCCAGCGTTAGCGTGCTGAGCCTTCAGAACCATCTGAGGACACAGCAGAACAGGTCACCAGGTGGCGACGTGGAGTGCTGTAGTTTAGTTCGGTCGGACTTGAACCTCTCACCTCCACCCTCTCCAGTCGCTGTAGTTTACTCATGAGGTTCTGGATCTCACTGTTCTTCTCACACAGCATGGACTGAAGTCTCTCCATCTGAGCCGAGTCGGTTCTGGAACCCTGGAGCTGCATCAGGGTGGCTACCTGAACCTGGACCACAGAGATTAGCATCATGTTGGGTGGGGGTGGGGGTGGGGCACGGGGGAGGCAAAGTGCAGAGGTGTGAAGTGGGGAGTGAACCTTCATGTGCTGCAGCTGCTGTTTAGTGAAGGCATGTTGTTTCTGCAGAGACTGGTACTGGACCCTGGTACTGATCAGCTGTCTCTCCATCTCAGCACGTTTGTCCTCCAGCTGAAAGACACACAGTCAACACGTGCACACTGCCACGTGCACACTGACCTGACTCCACCGTTAACTGTTGACGTTTCTTTTACCTCGGCAAACAGGGAGTTTCCTCTGGAGTTGGGATCCTGGGCCTGTTGAAGAACGTGGTCCAACTGGACCTGGAGGTCCCGGTTCACGTCACGGGATTTCTGTCGGAGAGAAACAACCGTCATCATATCTGTAATGTAGCGTCAAAGTACAAACTCCCAGGATTCCTCTCACCTCTAAAGCGTTGAACCAGGAAACGGCTTCTTTCTCCCGCTCCTCCTTCTCCTCCGTGACTCGCTCCAGCTGTCGCTGCAGACTGCTGGTGGTTAGCGCCATCTGCTGCTCTTGGTAGCGATATTCCTGCAGCGTCTGCTCCAGCTCCACCTTGGGCAGAAATATTAAGAGATCAAAGTGGACATTTACAAAAAGAAGGGTGTAAAGGTCACATCCCGGACTCCGTGTCTGCTGACCTTCACCGTCTCCAGCGCCGAGATCTTCATCTCCACCTCCAACATCTCAGAACTCATGGAGTTCTGTGCGGTGTCACTCAGAGCCTGCAGCTCCTTCACTCTGACGTCCAGACTCTCCGTCTGGATCTCCAGTTTCTGTTTCAGTTGTTTCTCATTCAGCTGAGATTCATCCAGAGCAGACTGTAGCAGCAGGACCTGCGGAGGAACACCACGACATCAACAACCACCAACAACCATCATCAACCACCACGACATCAACAACCACCAACAACCATCATCAACCACCACGACATCAACAACCACCAACAACCATCAACAACCACCACGACATCAACAACCACCAACAACCATCAACAACCACCACGACATCAACAACCATCAACAACCACCAAAAAACATCAACAACCACCACGACACCAACAAACAACAACAACAA